GTAAACAGCTTATTGTGATTATGATTATTACTCAGTAGGATTATGGGCGGCCAACCAGAGGGCTGTAAACACCGTCTGTAAACACACTCTGGGCTTCTGGCAACAAGAAACTCATCATGGGGTGAGCGTGATCAAAGGTTGGTGGCACTGCTGATCCTGAAATCTGTTTTGGATTTATAGAACGCCTGGGATAGAAGATATTAGAAGATAAAAAGGCTGAAAATCAAACCATAACTAGAGCCTGCACCTGTGTGTTCATGATATGTCCTGTAAGTGAAATTGTTATTTTATGTAAGGGCTTAATCTTGACAGCTGTGTGGTTGGGTGTCTTGTAGAGGGTTCACAGAGTTCAGTAATCACACACACACACACACACACACACACACACACACACAGAGAGAGAGAGAGAGAGAGAGAGAGAGAGAGAGAGAGAGAGAGAGAGAGAGATATCCTTATACATGATTAAACTGATTCTGAACACCTATTCAGAGGTAGGCAAACCTCTGCCACGTGTTACTCTGCTATGATGACAGTTTGGACCTGGCATCCCAATCCCAGTCAGCACGGGGGAGGGGTTAAGAACTAAATCTGGCAACCCAGAAGGAGCTGAGGAGGAAGTGTACTGCTCGTTTTTGGATCATTAGTACAGAACAGCATCTTCCTTTCCGTGCCAAGTGTAATCCTGTCAAACAGTATACATAATTTCCTAACTGTGTTTTGTGGCAGGTTATCCATTTTTGTGCAGTCATTACAAAAGGCTGAAAACTGTAGATATTGTCTATATGAAAGATCCAGTGTGTAACATTCAGGAGGATCTATTGGTAGAAACTGTATATATTATTCATAGGTATGTTTTCATTAGTGTATAATCACCTGAAAATAAGAATTGTTGTGTTTTTGTTACCTTAGAATGAGCTGTTTTTATCTACAGATGGATCTGGTCCTCTTCTACAGAGTCCGCCATGTTTCTACAGTAGCCCAGAACAGACAAACCAAACACTGGCTCTAGATAGGGCCTTTAGCATTTTTGGTGATCAGAGAGTTGGCGGTTCTAATCCACAGATGTCATGGATCAATACATTTTGATGTGTACTTGAGTATGGTAAGGGTGTGTGTGTGTGTATGTGACTACTCTGACACTCAACATGTAACAATTCATTTGACTGTTGCTGTACAAAGGAATGAGGCAATGTTCTATCTATCTGTTGAATAAACATTATAAAACTTTTCAAAAATGAAATCCATCCAGGGTAAAAACTAACTTCTGACAAATACAATGCTTGGAAATAAATGGTTTTGATGGGACGCTAGCAGACTGATGGTGACATCTGTTATCGCTGCACTATTATTTGATATTCAGCATGATTCTTGAAAGTGTGAGACACACTGATTGTCTCTGACATGGAAGTTGCATAATAGAATAAGTGTCATACCTGATGCAGTTGTGTGTGTGTGTGTGTGTGTGTGTGTGTGTGTGTGTGTGTGTGTGTGTGTGTCATATGTACTTTTTCATGTGTGCGGGCACATGTATGCATGTACCCCTCCCGGTGCTGTTCAGTTTTGTGTAATGCACCTAGCCTGAGGGCCAGGGTTGCCAGGTTGTGTAAATAAATTAAAGCAACAAATTATGTTTAAAAGCTTTTCCCTCAGGCCAGGAAAACTAAGATCCATTATTCATGGCTGTTACTGCCGGGAATCTAAAGGAAGGTGTGTGTGTGTGTGTGTGTGTGTGTGTGTGTGTGTGTGTGTGTGTGTGTGTGTGTGGTATTTTTTGGGTCAATTATTCAAAGATTAACCGCCCTTACCCCATCACATTATCTTGTTGATGAAATTGAATACCATTTACATTTTGATACCAGTAATGAAAACCACAACAATGGATGTTGAACCTCGTTTCTTCGTGTTGTAGATGGAGAAATTCTTGTTGCAGTCTAGTGCAAGAAACTTTTGAAAGCTGACACAGCAGTTTTCCTTTGCATCAGCAATCACCCTTCCGTAAACAGAGGAAGACAGAAGGAGAACATTGCCTATCTGCGTAATTAAATTAATTTCTGGCAGAATATATTTTGAAGCCTTGAAAACTGTGATACACATGTGTGGCAATGTCTTCTTTAAAATCTTATTTAAAGAAATGCTTTGTTGTAATTTTGAGCAAAAATAATGCATTGGAGATGAGTAATTAGGAAAGTTGTACAAAGGAGAGCTGCAGCAGCCTTTTGCAGGTCATCTGACTCACAATTCTGCCAGCATGTCCTGGCCAGTACAAGGATCACCCCCAGAATTTAGGTAATAGCCTACATCTCCACCGTCTTTAGACCACACCATCCTGGCTCCTGTCTTATCTGTGAGTCTAATGTGGTAGATAGGAAACACATCTCATTTGTTTAATCTGTGCAAAAACCGAAGTGTTAAAACGACAAGGCTAGCTTTTCCTCCTGCTCCCTGTCTATGTGCTAAGCTAGGCTTACTGGCTGCTGGTAGTAGGGAAGCTTCTAGCAGAGTTGACAGTGGTATCAAGTGGTATCGTTCTTCTCATCGAACTCACCGAAAACAAATTTTCCCCAAATGTCTAATGTTTCTAAGTGATATAATAGTTTAAATCATATAAAAATGCAATCTGATTTCCCATACTGCATCGCTTTGTTTTATTTTGTACAATCAAACCACACAGTTTAGTAAATCTAGATATTCATTTCACCTACATTGTATGGATACTGCTCAGCCCCCAAACAAACCACTAGAGTAAAAGCGATGTTCATTAGCCTGAACTGTGACGAGACAGTGTGCATTGGAGTGTTTGCTTTTACAAATCACAGGCCCTTTTCATTAACATCGCCACAGAGAAAAATAAGCTTTTGTAAAGTGATTTTCACTGAAGAAGTTTTAAGTCATGTTCTAGATGTATCAAGAAAAGAAATAGCCAAAACTTGTTCTAGGTTGATGGTCACTTTTATCTCTTATAAGCCATTATATCGTGAGCCAAAGTGGCAGGTACTGGAATAAGAACAAATGCCATGTTTAATTATGTTAAAAGATGCTGATGTATAATGTATTGTAATTTACCAAATAAACTCCCTGTACAGTCATAGACATTTTCTGCTACACTGATACATTCACTGCAATGTGGTTAAAGCTCATTAGAGCTGTAATAAAGTTAGAATTTCATTTTAATTTTGTGACAATTGCATTACACCAGAAACACATTCCCACAATACTGACTGCAAGCTGACTCACTCTAGTTAAACATTAATGTATCCCATTTACATTTTGTATGTTTCCATTTGAGGCTGTGGACAACAAGGTTGTCAGAAACGAAGAAGCAGATGCAGATATATTCGTCTCAGAAATTAAATCAATGGGAGTTGGCTTTGCACACATGTTTCCATACAAATAGTAAAAAGTAACTATGTTCATTTACTCAAATACTGTAATTAAATAATTCAAAGTTTGAGGTATCTGGAATTCACTTGAATTTCATTCTATTTAGAATAGTCGAGATAGAGAGTTATTGTTCTTTCCACCCTACTATATTTACTTTTTAGAGTTCTAGCTTGTGCTGACTGTATTAGCATCCACAGACTCCTCATTGTCTGCATAGGTGTCACCACGCTGTCTCAACAGGTGAGTCTTAAGATTTGTTGTCCTACTGCTGTACTTAATTGCTGTCCAACAGATCTTGCAAATGGCTAGACCTCTGTCTTAGTTTCCTTCCTTCTTACAGCATCCAAATGTCTTACTTTCCATCACTACAGTGTTTTTGCTTTGTGCTTGCTACAAAATTATCCTCTGAAATTGTCGTCCTCAAAATATATTCTTATTTTGATTTAAAGAATATATACAAATAAAATCAGTGCCTACTACACCCTCTCTTTATCTGAAGTCTTTATAGTATTTCTAATGCCTGGTTTTGATCATGCTGAATTGTTCATTTTAATTGAGGCTGTATGAGATATTCGAATATCTTGCCGATGATCTCATGTTCAGGCTTATAGTCAATTCTTTTTATTTTCCCACCTCTTTTATTCAGTCCTGTTTTCTTTTAACTGTGGCTCATACTGTCTTCTTTATCTCAAGAAGGATTATACATTTGCAGTTTGGTCTTTTCTCTTTGTCGCCCACCATCATCTACTTCTAATGTTCAAGCTCCCTGTTGGAGTTACACAGTCTGATTCTGGAGGGGCCCACTGCAGGCAAGTTGATCCTTATCTCTTCCATGTTGGCTTCCTCCTGGAATAACTGTTCATCTTCCTGCCCGGCAGGTTGTTGCTGTTACCGTACCTCATCATTTGCCTGCATGGTGTCAACTTGGAGGCTTGTTAGTCATTGGTCATTGCCAACTCAGACAACCTGCTGTGCAGACAGATAGAAAGGCTGGAGAGGGAGATGAAGGGCTGCCACAATGGTTAACAGTGTGGTTCTATTATAAAGAGAAAAAAAATCATTTGTGGTTAGGGTTGAGGTAAGACATGTTGTGGTTTGGTTCAGGTTGGAGAAAGTCTCCAGGGGATGAATGTAGGTCAATGCAAAGTCCTAAAGTGACAATGTTGTGTATGTATTTGTGGCTCTGTGTGTTTACATGGAAATGCATTCTACATTGTTTATGTACATACATTATGAACATTATTGCTAAGTTCAAATGTTCGCTGTTGAATATGGAGTCCCTGAACTGGCAAAATCCAGTAAAAGGTTATCAGATAGGTCAAAAATATAACTGAAACAAAACAAACAAGATCCCGGCACTTAGAGATAACTATCATCTTGTTTATTGGCTACATTTTGTCTGTTTCAGGTCTCAATTGTAGGATGCAGTTTGTAAAAAGTACAAAAAACTTAGAGAAACATTGTAATGTGCTTGCTACACTGTTGATTTAAAAGATAAGATAGATTTGATTTTAAAATAGACTCACCTATATTAACTCTTATGCAGAATATATGAACAGATATTGATAAAGACTATAATGGGGTTATAATTACACTCACAGAAGAAACCAAAACCAAGGTTTCAAATTGGCAGTGTTTATTCATCAAATTCCAGCTGATGACAGACAGACAGAAACATAACTGTGATAAACTGTACATCCTCCTCCTCCTTCTGTTTCTTCACATCTTCTCTTACACTTTAGTCAGACACGCTTTTTATCTCTTTTTGCCTCCTCTTCCTCTCTCCAGCTCCTACTTGTTCATGCTTGTCCCTTTTATCTACGTACACTCCTCTTGCTCAGAGCTCCTCAGAGTGGAAAGCTGAAGAACAAGAGGAGAAAACAAGGTGTTCATCAGCCGCAGTTACTGCAGGTATAAATATTAGGTATTAGGTATGATTGTGAATTGGCTCTTTTCATGCAAAGAAAACCAAAAAAAAAAAAGTTTCTTGGCAGATAGTACAAGCAATAAATATTAAAATATATAAAGGAATTATTTCTTCTTATTCTTCTGCTTCTCGGGTTCATGGTTCAATAACTCTGACTCTTTCTGTTAGAGTCTGAATGAAAGCATCTATTAAGTGTCGTTGAAGAATTGTGAAATACACAATAAATGTTCAAGTTCAAGTTCTTACTGCAGTTAATTAACAGTATTTTTAATGGGCCATTGGTTCTGATAATTGGAAGACGAAGATAAGATGGGAAGTTTATTTTATGCCTAATGTATTTCCACAATTTAGCGGGTTAAAAGGGCATCATATCCATTGTAACTCTGTTAGCCAGTGAGTGATTACGTTCTGACAGCTCCATCATTGCTATTATCTGCACAGCATGGATTATCATGATGAGCATTTAAACTAAAAACATCTGGTTTCAACACATGAGACCAGTCTGAGACCGGGTGTATTTTCCACACATGTACACGCTGATATATTAATGTTAAAATGTTTAATTCATGATTCGGTGGATGGAAATGTCATGTCCGGAATAAGATGTCAAGCATCTTATTCACGATATTTAAGCTTTTAATTTGTCGTTACATGGTTAATTAGCGTGAGGTGATGTTTTCTTACATGTGAGGGTTTCAGTTAGCTGGTGAATACCTTCCTCCTCATCATCGGGAGCAACCAAACTGGCTGCAAAATTCCACACCATCTCCAACCAATCAGTGCTCTCCGGTGCTGCGACATCAGCAGGGGCTGCAGCAGGGCTTGATCTTATTGGACGAATGCCTAAAGAATAGAGTAAAGAAATAGGAAAGAATAGAAGAAATATTATGAAATATTTAGACCTAAGATGTTTTAAAGAGTGAAACTGAACTTGAACAAGTAAACAGGGTGGACTAAATATCAGGAAACCTTACCTACTACCACAAAAACATCCATAGATTTAAAATAATTTTACATACCACACAGTTTTAACAAAATAATAGAAAATAGCATGTATATACTGTATATATAAAGTGCATTTGAAGGTGTTGTATGTTATTTACTTCACCCCATATAGCTATATGGTATGGGTTATTAGATACTATAAGTCTCAGATTGGTCACAACAGGAGAAAGCAATACGGTATAATATAAGATATATTTAAATTTAGTACTAGGGAGTGAATGTGAATGCGATATGTATGGTGGTTCACGAGTTTCTGCTTGCCTCTAGCCCTCAACCCTCTCTTAGCGATGGCAGAAGGAGGAGGGAGACCTGAGGGGGAGAGACACACAAACACAACGTTAACAGAGACAGCATGATGTGAAGTGTAAAATACAGGTTTCAGAGAGGCAAAGAAAAATAGAGGGTGGGCAAACAGAGGAACAATAACCAAAGAGAGAATCCATAGAGAGAACAACGATCAGTGGCCTTCATCACACTGCATATTTGCCGATTTCAATCATTCTCACCCACACGCAGCTTTAGATTTATTGTTTTGCTGCAGTGGTGGCAAACATGATAATAAGATAACACACTTTTCATCATGCAGAACATGTTAGGGTTTATCTCTCGGCGATGCAGAGGACATGCTCAGCGAGAACACGGCAAGAAACAGCAACAACACAGCCATATTTTCAGCAGCATTTCAACTGTCCTGACACAGTTTTATCATATATTTCACATGTTAGTGTCACTCACTAACTTTTGCTTTCCACTCTAGTAGTCTGCAGTTCCAACACTAAAAGAAACATATTGATACCACTTTCTAATATAATATGAATGTTTAATAAAATATTTAGAGATGCTTTATAGATCACAAGCCAATGATATCCTCCTCCAGCAGGATCCCCGCTTTGTCTGTTTCTAAGGTTTTCCTTAAGTGCTAAAGTCCGTTCTCAGTGTATGTGCACTGTGGGCTACATCGCACTTATAAGTTGCAAACTGGACCAGGGTTGACTTTCAAACTATTTGTGATGGTTTTCAATGAGCACAGAGAAACTTTCCACTTTCAGCAGATTAATGTGAAAACATCCTTCGAGTGTCAAACTCTGCACATACATCATTCTGCACAGTGAAGCTCAAACATCGCAGGAACAAGGAGAAAAACTGATTTTTGAGTGGAGAGGGACTAAGAGTAATCAGACCTTCTGGGACATAGCTACACAACATTCATCTAAAGTGCAGACTAACGGATAATTATACAAATCATTTATTTATGACTTATATTCATAAATACAAAGGCTGTTGTCTTTATGAGACAATGAGAACCTGAGATTTGACTTATTAACGCCATTAACAACTGGAGACTGGAAGACGTTTGTTCATGATTTTATTAATAACTTGAAAATAACTTGAAAATACATTATTGTTATTTTCTGTTTATACGGGGAGACTTCTTCCACAGGTAATTTTGCACACTATATGTAACATTTCCACATTAAAATGTCTCAAAGCACTAGACCTATGTTATATATTTTGTTCTGTTGTGAATTTACAATATCCTAAATGTTTCAACACGTTCTTAGTTATTTATTATATGTTTTGAAGAAGGCTTGTGTGAGGTAGTACTTTGTTGAAATAAATGTTCAGTCTCAGTTGTTCTGACATGTTCAAATTAATTACCGTTTTTTTTTATCATTTAACAGGCAGCTGTTAAAATCTATATATTATATATCAAATAATTAAATTAATATCATAAACCTACTACGACTAGTCAACTATTGGCTTAATTTAACAACTACTAGTCAACTAGGAGAATCTTTAATTGGGGGCAGCACTAATTTCTAACAATGTTCAAGCCCAGAGATATCTGTCATTTAGACATCAGATGTCTGGATCTTCAGTTACCAGAGAAACAAGCTGAGCTAATGTTAGCAGCAGCTCGACTGGCCGTCCTTTGTCTGCAGAACAGCATTGGAGATACAATGATTTTTAAGGTGCTTTATTTAGTGTTTTTAACTATTTTAATCAGTGGGTCCATTTGTTTTGGAGAGGAGGAGATCTCTGTGGATCCTGTTAGAAAGGATGAATACTGAAGGAATCCTAACCAGAAGAAACTGACTGCAATGGCGGTAATTGTGATGAAGACATTAACTTCCATGAGCCAATGATCCAACGTCATCAAACTTTGTTTTGTAATTGTTTTGTGTCCCCTAGCAGCAGAAATGACATATTGTACATTTGATAGTTGCTGTTAAATACATACTGCAGGAGCCAGGTAATGCCAGGGTTCAACCACTAACAAAGCTGGTAATAGTGATGATTTAGTACCAAATGATGCACTAGAGGCACTTTAAAGCAGCTAGCTTATTATGCCAAAAATGATTACAATTATTATTTTTTGTATTCTTGTACACTGACCCTTCTGTGCTATTCACAAGAGCTTTGTCCCAGCGGCTGCTCTTATTAATTAATCTCTTTAATTTTCCGTCTCCCAGGTGGAAGAAGCTTTCTGCCTGTTTGCTGCCCAGTGTGGAGGAGTCGTATAATGGAGCCTCATAAACAACTGATTAATGCACTGACATTTCTTTGATTGGCACTCAGACACAGTGCAGGAGACTCCAGGAATAGAAGGCTAGCATTTCCCCCCTGTCGTCCTTTTATTGCCTTTCTACGCTCTGTCTTTCTTTCTCTGATTTATTCCACGTCTCTTTTCTTCTCTCTTCTTCCTTTAAATCTATTTCCTGTCTAGACTTTCATGTTCTTGTCCCGAGCCTCTTTTCTTCTCTCTACTGTTCAGCCTTTGTTTTTTTACTTTTGTGTAGTTTAGCAACCACATCAAAATGATAAAAGAATAAAAGTACAAATTGTGCCGCAGAGATAAAGAAAAAAGAAACCCAAGAGGCTCTGAAACACTTTAAGTAGAGACATATCCGAGCTTGATAAAGAAAGCTTTGTTTCTTTTTTCTTCCTTCGTTCAAGCCTCCATTCCTTCCTATTTTACTTTATTTCCTTATGTCCTTCCTTCACCCTTATGATCCCTTTCTCCCTTTTTTCTTTTCTCCTTCCTTCCTTTCCCTGTTTTTTACTTCTCTTTTACTTCTGCCATTTCTTTCTTTCCTTTAACTTTTCTCCATCCTTTCTTTTTGTTTTTGAGTTCTTTGCTTTTTCCATTCCTTCCTTCCTTCCTTCCTTCCTTCCTTCCTTCCTTCCGTCCTTCCTTCCCTACTTCCTTCCTTCCTTCCTTCCTGCCTGTCTATCATCCCCTCTTCCTGTATTTCTTTCTTTCTTTCTTTCTTTCTTTCTTTCTTTCTTTCTTTTTTACAGCTGACACCGACCTTGCATACAGGACAAGAGTGGATTTTGTAGACACGTGACATGCTCAGGTTTTACAGTTTAACACCCAATCAGTAACACTGGATGGTTGTAAAATTTCAATCTGTCTCAATCTGTTTTCCTTTTCAAGAAGAATCACATACATTAAGAATTACTCTTTTTAGCCTCTGCCCCTCTGTCAGAGAAAGAAAGACCAGGGCTTTGATAAGGTGACTGATTAAACTGTTGGCAATGCTGCTACTTTGTCTCTCCTCCTCCTCCTTCTCTTTCTCAGTCTACTCTCTGCCTGAATTACTGTACTGTCTATGCAAGTGTGTCTCTTTCTCCAAACTCCTATATCCTTTTTTAATGTTACCTTTTCTTGTCTATTGTCTCTCTCCACACACACACACACACACACACACACACACACACACACACACTATCTCTGCTCTTTTGCGACAGGGAGAATTGCATTTCTTCTTTATTGTCCAAAAATGTCTCCTTGCTGTTTAATTTATACACACTGGCCTTTATTGAAATGTCATGGTGGGAGAAAAGCCTTGTGATTAAAAATGCAGCCCAGCATTTTGTCATTGTCAACTTGCAAATATTTACTTCAGAAAATGGAAGATAACTACAATGTACAGGGGCACTCTCTTTTCAGGTGCATTTACCCCTCAGCTCAGGCCTATCCATAACCCTGAGAGAAGCGTTTTCCTGACTTAGGGAAAAGACATGTTGCTTTTATTGATACCTCTGCGTGAAATATGGGAGATAAATGAATCAATCTCATCCAGCGACTCTGTATTTCATTTTCTGCTCAAGTTTACTTGGATTATCATGTTAGCCTCGCCAACGTAAACATATCTTTCAATGTCAGAATGTCACAAGAAAATAAATCTGCAAAACTGAACAAATGATTCAATTTGAAATCCCCAATTTGAGGTCTGTTATCAGACACAGTAGTCGTAACCCAGTACCCATGTGTGTCTGTTTTAAGCCTGTGTGTCACACGGCTTCCTGGCAACTGAGGACTGGCAACAAAAATACACAAGCAGGTCCACAGTAATGCAGGCACACGTGTTGACTTATCGTGCACCTACAGACAATACCCAGACTGGTGACAAATTAAAGAAAAACTCTAAAATGACTAAATGAGTGAAAACATAACAAATGCAGATGATTCCACAAAGGGCAAGGGATCACTGAGTGGTTTGATAAGTATAAAAACTATATAAATAGCAGGATATGGCTTTCCCAATCACCAGAGCTCAATGAACCCAGTTGTATGGTAATGGGAGACATTGGAGGGATGTGTTGCTCTCTACCACCATCATCAAATCAACCTCACCAGTAGAGTTTCAGACACTTTCTTTTAATTTGCCATCCATCTGAGAGGCTTGATAAACACAATCTGGGCGAACATTTGGGTAAACTCCAATGCAACCACCATAATCAGTGGATTCATTGGTGGGGGTGAAGTAAATCTTTGGTGAACTTTGACCTGTGAATTTGTGAACGGCGGTACCTTTGACAAAACAGAGAGCCGGAGAGTCCAAAATGGAGGAAAATATGATTAGCTATGTGGCACCACCAGGTTTTCTTTAACCCTCATCTGTCATTGTATATACTGCTCCACAAAAAGGAAATGTTTCGCAGACAGTTATGAGACAGGAGTCAAGGGTACAAATACGTCTTTTGTAGATGGCTCAGTTAAGAGAAAATAGGCTGGGGATAATCCACAGACATCACCTTGGACACTTGCCCACAGTCTCAGTGGGATATATCTGAAAACCTCTGCAAATGTGTGACGTGACCCCTTAGGGCAGAAAACCAGCTCTTTGAAACTTTCAAGCCCAGTGGCTTCCTCCATTAGAGGTGTTATGGGTCACAGCTGATGTTTAGCTTTTGACAGCTGCTGGAAAACACTGGCAGGTGGAAAGTTTCAATCAATAGAAAGCACCAGTGTTTCTGCTGATTGTAGTGTTTTGATAGAGTCCCATGTTTTGGAATGCTGGACATATACGAGACAAGGTACATCACGTATATCTTGATTTTCTCTGGTCTGTCACAGGCAACACTCTAGTAGTACAAGCAAGCAGTGCAGTCAAACTGTTAGTGGTTTTTGTTGTTGTTGTTTTTACCAGGAGATAAACACACGGGGTCGTCACAGTATGATGTGTACTCTTTGGATGGGATGGCAGGTGATTGACGGCATGAGGATGGAGAAGAGGTTGGAGGGGGGAGGGTGAAGGAAGAAGGAGAGTGAGGAGAGGAGTTACAGATGAGTGTGTTTGGATGTGTGAGGCAGGACTATCCTTACACTGTAGAATAGTCCAAATACATGGTGATGTGTAGTAGTTGTGGGAGTGATAAGGAGCAGATATGAGTAAAACTGATAGAAAGGTCCGCATCGCAGTAAATTAACTGCACACTGGAATACTCCTGTTACAAAATCAAAGTGATTGATTTCCTTTTGTGTGGTTGGAAGATTGGAGGCAGTTTGACCTTTGTGTGTCAGGTCTATTTAGATCACTGCAGTGCATATGCACACAGAGTAATGCTTTATTTCAAAGGGTTCCTCATTTCTGAATATGATATGTGAGATAACGCATTACCAAAAAGGCATAGCAAAAAATGGAGCTGAGGTGAAACTGCAACCTATCATCCTGTCACACAGTTTTAAACAATATAGTGATAATGAATAAGTAACACTGTTTCAGTACACAGGGTTTTTTAAATGTATGACTGTACTAAATGCTGAAGTTTTAATACAGTTATACTAATGTGATTCAACATTAAACCCTCTATGTTTCATTGTAAAACCTAAACAGTGTTAATTTCCACATCAACATCAATGTTCTATGGTTCAAATATAATGAACAAGTTTACCCTGAGAATGTTAAGATGCATACTGATATATTGATCCTAATTCAATTAAAGTAAGACCCTAACTGCTTATATTTTCATTGAAATATACAGTATACATCTCGATAATAGTCTAGAAATGTAAAGAAACTGTGATATTTTGGGGAACGTATTCGATTTGCTGCAGAAAGTTAGAAGAGAAGATTGATCAAGTCTGTTGAGCCAGCAGCTGGTTAGCTTAGCTTTACATAAAGACTGGATACAGGGGGAGACAGCTGGCCTGGCTCTGTCCAAAGGGAACAACATTCACCTATTAGCTCCTGTAAGCTCACTAACACATACTGTTTAATTTGTTTATTTAACTTGTACAAACAAAAAGTGCAAAGCGTAAAAATTACAATTCATTTTACAGAGGGTTATGTGCCCGACTAAAGGGCTGTTTTTTTGTCCATTCTGGGATACTGTAGAAACAGACCCACAGCGTCTGTACCTAGAAACGACCCATTTCAAGGTGACAAAAACACAATGATTCCTATATTTAGGTGGTTACACACTAATGAAAACGTGCCTATTAATATTCTATTACATTTTGCCAATAGATCCTCCTAAATGTTACACACTGGACCTTAAAACAGCGAGATATAGCATGTCACTTAGAGCGTTTTAGGTGGATTTTGTTACTTTCAAAAAAGAGCCAAGCTAGCTGTTTCCCTCTCTTTCCAGTCTTCATGCAAAGCTAACTGCTGGCTATACTGTAGCCTTACTTAAGTACGGCATTTCCTAAAAAGCCCTTTAATGTAAAGTAAATATAACTGGAGTAATCACAGTAACATAGATACATTTTTTGTTCAGTGTTTTTATTTCTGGGGGTAGTTAACAACCCTGATTTTATGTTTACAAAAATAAAACAACATGCTTCAGAGTGCGGCACGGTTGGTCTTTCTTCATTTCTCTTGTTATGCTGCAATCAGATGTTTCTCATTATCTCAAGATAAGAATTAATGTGTAAGCAGAGCCTTGTAAGCCTGATCACAGTGCCAGCGAATAGACAATCCTAAGTGGAACTGAAAATGTTTGAAGGAGATCTTGACTGCTGCATTTACTTTAATCAATCGGAAACATAGTTACATTCCGAGGGAAATTCATTTTCTGTTATCTCATGACAATGAAATAATTAAAGTGTGATCACAGAGAATGAAATTTGATCACACAAGACAATTAAGTCATGAGCTGATAACAGGATTAAAGATGAGGAAACAAAGCTGCTCTAAGTTTCTGTAGAGCAGCAGCAGCCAATGTATAGAACTGCAAAGAGCTGCATATAAGACATAAAGATCATTACTTTAAATTACTTAATGTTTTGATAAGAATAATAACTAATTACAGTCTGTGACTGTTATCAGTATGCATATTAACACCACAGGAAGAGTCCTTTCAATCCATTCTACGAGTGTATGAGTCAGACGTGTAAGTGAAATGAGAAGTGAATAGACCTCAATATGTACACAGCTGTATTACTACACTGGTACATAAACTGTCAACTGGTGCATGTTAGAGTCTAAGTGAACGTGTGAGTGTGACAAAATGCACTACTGAAAACATGTGTGTCATTTTCAATACATCTGTCTGTCAAGTGAAGGGAAACACACAACGCACCATGTGTCACTTTAAATCAGTGGTTCCCCAACCTTTTTCCTCAAGGGACCCCTTTTCTGTCATTGAGTAAGCTGACAACCCCTGAGGAAGTGACATATTTAATGGATATTTTTTATTATGTTCAGTGGGTAACAATATCAGTACAGAACAACTCATAAACTGTACAAGTAACCCAAATAGTGAACACAATAACACCAGGAAGTTTGTGTAGAACGGCCAATTTGGATGAATTTTGAGTTGATTATTTCCTGTGAATCTTGCATCAGAGAGGAGTTTTACTGATCATTTTCGTAACTTTTTATACTGCATTATGTTGGTTTTTTGCATTTATCCTATGAGATAATAATGATCTTAACTTTAAAAATAACAATTTCATTTAGCTTTCTTCAGAGAAATGAATAAAATGCTGAGATATAGGCCTACTGTATATATTTTTTGAAGTTTCAAGAAGGCTTTGTGACCCCCCCATGAAGCTTTTGTGACCCCTAGTTGGGGTTGGGAACTAATGCTTTAAACATCTTCAAAGCAGCACTGATGTTGAGACATTATATTGTTATGAACATGTGTTGTGATGTGATGGTGTGTGTCCCCCAACTTGAAATACTGATCATGTTGAAAATGATGACCTTCATGAGAGCACGTCCACTTTTGAAGTCTGCTTCAAAAATGTCTAAAAGGTTGTTGAAAAATGTTTGGATGATATATGGATGTGTAAATGATGTGTGAATAAATGAATTGAAGCAAGTGTCATAAGGTGTAATAGAACATCACAAGCACATTATAATCACATTATGATGAAATTATAATCATTGTTGCATGTATGGAAGTTTTTACTTAAAATGCAAAAATAAATCTAGTAAAAGATTAAAATAACAATAATCAACAATGACTTGTTACCTGCTAGAGTTTTATAGTCAAGCAGATCAAAGAGAACGATAGCAACTCCCGACCACGTGAGGATCAGAGCCACAATCAGCAGCCAGGCCATCGGTGAACTAAAGGTCAAAATGACATCATCCAAAAATGTCCTCCGATTGGTCTGAGCTGGAGCGACCGCCTCCCCGCCGTTAGGTTGACTGCTCATTGGTGAAGAGAGCTGAGAGCAGAGAAAGAAGTTAGAAATGGGAGGACATGATTGCGAGAAAGAAAATTGGGGGGGGGGCAAGGAAGAAAGACATAAAGTGTGGAAGACGAGTGGAGGAGCCTCAGCTTTAGGATGACTGAGGAAAATTACTTTTAAAAAAAAGCAACATGATGCAAAATGCATTGTAGGCCTACTGTAACAAAAATACATAAACAGCCTGCTAATAGAGTGAGATAACATCACAAAGTATCTTAGCTAACTTAGCTACAAGCTAATTTAAGTAAATGCGAGTAATGTGAATAGAAAGATTTTGTAAGCTTGCTGTTATATATATATATTTAAAGTCATGCTGCAGTGATTTATTATTTCATTTCCATAAAGTCAGAGGACTCACTCACAACAGACAGATTTTTAAAAGATTTTAAAAATAGCTGCAGCAGAGGCCAAGATATTCTTTACTTTTTATCAAGCTCAAAAAGTCAACCATCAAAAATTAACTGAATCTCCCACATTTATTCCCCACTGTGCAAACTGCAACATCTTCAACATCTGCAATCTCTATGTTCTCTGTTAAAGGCTTTCTGTTATTTTTCCAAGCCAAAAAAAAAAATTCAGATCAGAGTTTTTCTTTCAGACTTGACAAATCTCCCCCACAGCCACAGTAGACGTTATACAATTGTTTTGGCCTTTATGCGTATAATTGAAGTAGTAACCCTTTAAACCTCCATTCACAGATGTATTTATTTTTTGGCCACTTGGGGGCAGCAAAAACAACTGACATCTTGATATGGCAATATGGCAAACAGTTGCTTATTTATAATCTGCTCCCCAACTCCTGAGGAAAATATCTTCCTCTTTAGCTGCTAAATGTGCCACTGTCTTCAAAAGCTAACTGTGTCTGCCTGCTGTTTGGTGTTGGGCAGGTAGCATATAGGGATTTTTATTTATATAGCTATCTGCTGCATTATAAACAACCAAAACGAGTTGAAAGACACTACAAAAGCTCTGTAGCTTTAGCTGAAGGGGACTGCAGAGACAGGTGACAATCTTCTGTGGGTTTGTCACTAAGAGCAACACCTTTCACATACAAGTAGCTTTTTGATCCATTGTTAACATAAAATATTGATTATAGCAGCTTTTAAAGTGTGGGGATTATGTGTAAGAACGTGTACTCTTTCCACAATAAGCCCTTTTATCATCTTGTCCCTGTTGTACAAGAAACAATATAGATCTCACAGTCTAGTCCTTTTTTTCATTTCTTTTTGCTTTGACAGTGGTTTTCTCAAGGTCTCTAGAATTCCTGACCTCACCTATAAAATTGTCAATATCTATAAACATCTATAGGAATTAGAGGGCAATGCAATTAGCCTCTGCTTCAGAAGAGTATGATTAAAAATAGATGTCTGGGTGCAGCAACAAATTGTCTGGCTTTGGTGGGAGACTTCTGCATCATAAGGACACATGCATTACAGAAAACCTGTTATAAAATTTCAAAATAAACTACAGAAACCTTGGAAGTATTGTTGGGGTGGAACACTTTGCCTTAAGGCCTTTGGTTGAGTGCAACACAGGGTTACAGCCCATGATGGTGATGGAAGTACATGGCATGATAGTGACAGCTTCCCATCATGAATTCACCATCTTTAATCTGTGCTTGATGAGTAACACAAACAGGCACGCCTGTTGCATTCATGTTACCAATTCTTTTAATTAATGCACACTGCTGCTTTTTATTCACATGGATGTCAGTGAATCATTCAAGTATGTTCTGTTGTTCTTTGTTTGAGGATGAGAATGACAGATATGAGGAAGGGAAAGAGTGGGAGAGAGCAACGAGAGAGAGAGAGACAGACAGAGCATGCCTGAGGCGATGAGGAGATTAAATTCCATCACAGTTTGAAAAATCTGCTCTACAAGACAAATTACTTCTCTAAAGAAAGTTTTCATCATTGTATGGCAGTGGGGCGGTGTGCTATAACATGATTACGCTCCCGCGTTAGGTTGTTTGTGTTCATTATGTGGCGTGCTGCGATGAACGCCTCAGATGATTTATTTTTCCCTCTGTTTCTCTGCTTGCCTCTCACACAGCTTATCTGCAAATATAAAGTGATAGTTGCACTGTGGTGGAGATTTGAATTAAAATACGACTGATTCATTTGGAAGAAATATGCCCTTCTCAAGGTTATTAATGAGGCCCTGAAGGATGCAGATCCACGTGAGTCCTGTATGCTGTATGCTGGTCCAGCGGAGGCATTTAACACCATTCATTATGACAGTCTCGTTGACACAATTAGGTGGCGGTTGGGGCTCTAATGGTTCTCATCTTCACTGTCAATTAATAGAAGCTGAGTGTAGATTGGTGACAATGTCCCCCGTCTCCTCATTATATTATATATGTACCTCAAGGCACAATTTTTTTTTCTCAATACATTTGCTTCTGCTTAAGAGTTAAACCCAATCATTTGGCCATATTATTGTCTATTATGTAGCCTGTGCGCTAAAACCCAGAAGAAGATATGCTCGACTATTATCGACTATTAAACAGTGAATGCAGCAACAGTGCAAATGAAGCTCTTTGGCATGGCTGGATTAACTTGTTTGGGGGCAAAACATTGATGTTGGGCCCCAACTGAACTATACTAACTGAAATATATATATATATCTATATATATAAGATTTTGACTTAGGGCTGCAAAACAATGCCCCAAGATCAGGTATCTATCTATCTATTTACTTAGATAGAGTTCGGTCTAGACCTGCTCTATTTGAAAAGTGTCCTGAGATAACTTCTGTTATGATTTGGCGCTATACAAATAAGATTGAATTGAATTGAATTTAATCTATCTATCTATCTGTCTGTCTGTCTGTCTATATATATATACAATGTATATATGTCATCCAGGATGGTTGTATAATGTGAAGCATTGATGTGTTTTGATTCAGTAGCTGGTCTCAGACTGACCTTTCTGTTGCCGCATACAGATAACAAACTACAAAATCAATTTAACATAATTCTGCCCACGCACACTCAAATGTGCATTTGTGTGTGTATCTGATTCAAGAAAGCTAACCATTGATCTGGTGGACAACAACTGGCGTGTGTGTCATTTCAGATGTAGAGCTGAGAGCGCCTGTTTGCGCCTCTGTGTGTGTGCGTGTTATAAAAGCTGACCATTGATCTAGTAAAGCCGTGGCAATGGCTGGTCGGGCCAACATATTGATCCACAGCAGGTAAAATGCTCGTGATGTTACAATGAGGGCTGGAGCACAGTCTAAATGTCCAACAGCAGATAGATCAGAAAAAAAGCTGCACTGTGCAATCATCCACTTCACCATTCTTCTCCAAAACCATGTAATTAGTTTTCAGTCTAACTCATCTTTTACTGTTTGTGTCAAAGTGTGAGTCGTGTGCAAATATTTCCCCCTTACAGTACCTATGTGTCTGTCCTCTTTTCAAAACCAGATGACCCAGCCCACCTGTTGTTACCACCAAGCACTGAGCTGATCCTCACACACACACACACACACACACACACACACACACACACACACACACACACACACACACACACACACACACCAACTGCTGCTGCTGCTTCCGCCACACCAAAGGAATGAACGGAATTAGAACGATGTGCGTGCAGGCTATTGACGGTATTTGAGGGCAAATGAAAGACGACAAAGGCACTTATGTGAGTTAGTGTGAGTCATTCAATGTGTCCCCCCTTCTTATGAGTACACTAAATTTATGCCTGGTATCATTACCAGTGATAGAAAGTAACTAAAGGCATTGTGTACTTACGTGCAATTTTCAGATGCTTCACTGCACATTTCAGTAGTAATTTTTGCACTTTTTACGCCACTACATTTATCCGGTCGCTAGAGTTGCCTAGTTACTTTTCAGATTAAGATTTTATATTAAAAAACTATAAACTTATAAACTTATAAAATCCAACACATTGTTATAGATCAAACTAGTGGTTCCTGAGCGTTTTGGCCTTTGACTTCTTACAAAAAAGCAGTGTCAGAGATTTCCACTCTAAACTTCTCAAATGTTTTTATTTTAATAAATGTTTCAAGGCCTAATGAGGTCAAATTATCTAATACTTTGCAGAGCAGATTAGAGAAAACTCAAAAAAATGTGCTGCAGAACTTTTTCTTTTTCTTTTTTCCTCTCCCATTAATCATGTCATGACCCCTTAGATTTATCTTGTGACCCTTTTGATGGACCCGAACCATAGCTTTGGAACAGTAAAATGCTTGTTACACACAGATGCATAAATGTAATAAAAGCCATATATAATAGTCTAAAATTCACAGGAGCCATTTTTCTGCTGAAATAGTACTTTTACTGTTGGTACTTTAGGTACATGTTGCTGATAATACCAAAGGTGAATGCAGGACTTTTTCCATCCACCTTTCTTTAGTATTAAAACACTGTGTTTCTTAGAATAAGCTGATAAAACAATTTATTTGACAAAATCTCAGTAAGTTCTCGTGTGTATCAAATGCAGCTTATGTGCACAAATAATGAAAGCAGTGATTTACACATCAACCATTCGTCTTGGCTACATTGCTAGCAATTACATGATGGCACTGTCAGAAGAGGAAAAAAGATAGAAGCAAAAAAAGGTAATTGATAATTTCAACATCAAAGCGAATATTTTCAAATGCAGTTGTTCCTAACCTGGGGGCTTGGGACCCCCTAGGGATCCCAATACACATCTGAGAGATCCCAAGATAAGGGAAAAGAAAGAAAAATATATTATATTTCTTCCTCATGAAATACTGAATACTTTCAACTCTTTAAGCCTCTAAAAATCCCTCACATGAAACAATTACTGTTTAATTGAACTGCTCATAATTCATGTCCACACTGAGGCCCTGATCTGTGTTAAGGGGCCAAGTTCCGCATGGACTGCTTAATTTTGAGGGGTCACAAGCCAAACAGCTTGTGGACCACAGGTTTAACAAGTGTGCAGGAGAATGAAGAGTGAATTATGAGTTCCAGACAAGGGTCTAGGAGGGAAATGTTGCCTTTTCAAAAGTGCTCTATTATACCTGTGGCAAAAGAGCTACAGGCCACAGTGGCATTTAGTCATGAAGGAGAAAAATTAGATCCCACTTTCATTGAACATTTTTATCACTAAATTATTACAATCCAAATAAGAAGATGAATAAACGTGACTTACATAACACTTCAAAACCCAAGGAAGAACACATTCAACTTCTCTTGAATCAAATCAAATATAGATTATAACACAAATCATTTCATTATTTTGACTTGTTTGATCATAACATTAAAATTCCTTGTACATTAAAGTTCCCATCTTATAAAGTCTGACAGTACACCCTCAGTAGTAGCTAACCTTAAGTGGATATTTTAAATGACAGTGAGAAAGAATAGCTGCGTGGACTGTGCATAGACCTCCAGTAATGTCAGTATCAGATTATTATTATTATTAACTTTAGTCAGAGTAAAATGGATTTTTACAGCACCTTGGACTTTTGCGTTTGCTGGTTGTTGCAGTGATAACCTTCAGTCCTTCAGTGGCTTGAGAAATACAGCGTTACCATAGAAACAAGCATGTAACTTCTTCGTTAAATCCTTTTTGGCCCCAGCTGATTGTGAGAAAAAGACGATGGAGGCAACACTCAAATCCGGCAGCAAAAAGCGCACAGCAATTGTGTAAAGCTGGATCACAGCAGGTCTAAAAATACACTGAAACCTTCCCCACAGGAGGAAATGGAAGAAAATCCAGGGAACAATTGTTGTTTTTTTTAATTCTTCTTGTTAATTTCAAAGCTCTTCTTGAAGGTTTCGGTTTGTGTCCGAGAAATTCCAAGAGTCAAAGTTTGTGAGATTCAGTTTCTAGCTGGTTAAATGCTGGAGAGAGTGAGACAGAAAGAGAGAGAGACTGACATAGGAAAGCAGGGGGAAGGGGGTTGACCTACTGAGAGTCACCCTGCCCCCTTCTTGAGGGTCCAAAATAGGGAGATAGAGGAAGTGGAGGCAGGGAGGAGGAAAGGAAAGGGTAGATTTCAAAGGTGGAGAGGAAGAAAACAGCATGTATAGGAGCAAAAGATCAAGAGATGGGGAGAAAAAAGCGAGAGAATAAAGTGAAGAGATGAAGGTCTAAAAGTCTTCTGCGTTATGTGTCTCTGAAACACTGAGCGCATTAATCATGTTATAATGATGGAGGCAGCCAGAGGCAGCGAACAGCTGATGTTACAACAGTGTTTCCTCCTCTGAGAGGCCCATTACTCCATCCCTTACCTGCCCTACACTGACCTGTTCACCTGTTCAAAATACAGAGGCAGTTCCCTGTAAGGTGAATGACACAGCACCACCACTGATTTAGTTTAGTTAATTGTCTGTTTTAATATGATTTGACAGTATTTAAGGATTGGTGGGTCCCCCATTAACAACAGCAGTTTGAACACATCAGGAGACAAGAGCATTCACTTTGTGCCCTTGGCAACAACTTAAAAAAAAAAGAGCTTTAAACTTGTAAATCTCCCAGCCATTCCCTCACTTCCTCCAGGGGAAACATATTTCCTCATAAGTGCCCTGTCTTGTCAAACAGAGGTCAAAGTAAAGAGTAAATAAGTTAATAAATATCTGGTCGAGCCCCATGTGAGTTCTTAAGCCCTGTCAGAACCTGTTTTTGAGACCCAGTTTAAAGGGTGTATGTGCCTATGTGAGGGCGCAGTGGGAAGGAGTAACCTGACCCCCAGTCTTGCCCTGGGAGCCTGCACTGCAGAGGCTATAATTAGAGATACAGACAGCAGCTGGTGTTAACATTGGACTGGACTGCTTTATATGTAGGGCGCACTGAGGGCTAGGGGGACACAAACACACACACGCATGAACACACAACACATAGACACCCAGGTCCCACACACAAGAAGAATGCAGGGACTGTGTGAGAATGATTGGGGTGGAGAGGGGCTGAACTTTACATTTCACTTCTTTTTCTTTGAATCCTCCCATTGACTTACAAAAAAACATCAACATAACTCTAAATAATATAAAACTACTGAACTGACAGAACTTTTCTCCTCAATACCTCGAAGAGGAAAATGAGGATGTTAAATGAGGATATTAAGATGGTTTACCCTAATATTATATAGTGCTGTATCTAGATTGTCAAAGCGCTTCAAGCGAAGGGGGGAAACTCACCTCATCCAATCACTAATGTGTGGCACCCACCTAGGCGATGCATGGCAGCCATTTTGCTCCAGAACACTCAACACACATCAGCGTGAGGTGGAGAGGTAGTGTAGCATCGAGCCAGTCACACAGGGGGATGATTAGGTGGCCAAATGGAGAGATCCAGGTTGGGAATTTTGCCAGGATAACCGGGAACCACCTAGTCTGTGTGATAAGTGCCATGGGATCTTTAATGAACACAGTTAGTCAGGACATCGGTTTAAAGTCTCATCTGCAGTGTTAAGTTATATTAGTAATGCTGCCATCAGTTTCACATTGTAATATAAAGTTATATATAAATAACATTTTTTTCAGTTGTAGATGTTTATCCTTCCCATTACCACACAGCCTACCTAATTTGTTTTTACAAGAAACTTTTCAAATTATAGCGATATAACATTTTATCTTATTATATCATAAAACTTCCCACAAAAACAACAAACATGACTCATTATTCAATGATCTGTTATCATATCAAGAAACCTTCCCTATGTTGTTAGAACAGAAAACAAAAAAATATTTTGTAGGCAACTTTATGTCACTTTTTTCCCATTGTGTTTCGGAATAAAATCAAGGTGGGAATTCTGGTGGTAGAGATTTAAAGATGCAGTGAAATGAAAAATATATTTTCCAAGCTTTAATGCTGCCTCTCTCGTCACATGCTAAATATATGTCATAAACATTTTTGATGACTCATCATAAACTGGGGTAGCTTGTGGGCCATTATAGCAAGCAGAGTGATATTATAGGTGTGTGTTTGGATCTCAGTTGGTTGGTTTGTATTCCCAAAAAGGTGAACCTCTGACCGAGCTGCACAGGTAAGGGAGATGTGAGTGTCTGAAACAGAGACAGGACTGTTGTCCTCTGCATAGGCAAAAGGCCACTTAAGTCATTATTTTCAAATTTTTTTAACAATTATTCTTACAAGGAAAGGTTGGCATAAAATATAATTCTGTGTGAGAGAAACCCCTTCAGCCAAAAGAAAAAATGACATGCATCACTTCCCTGTTCAGCCCCCTATCCTCCCAAATACTTCTATTCTTAACAGAGCCCAGCTTTCTGTCTGTATAAGCAAATAGCGTGTTTAAATCACATCGGCTTCTTGACAGTTTTCCCTGTTATGTATTTAAAAAAAAAAAAAGAACAGACATAAACTAAACTGCTCTAATGTTCATTCAGGTACATCTCAGCCACGTAATAAATGTTTACTGTTCGCCTCATTTAGATTTTTTGTTATTTATCTGTCATTTCATTTTTTAAATTTATTTATTTTGTCAGATAGCTGCTATACGCACACGCTCAAATTCGCATACCCATCAGAGATGTTCTGATGAAACGAGCCATCCCAACAATATTCTGATGAAACTAACAGCAATCAAGAAGAACAACACTCCTGTCTGCACTACAGAACACTGTGTGATGTGTGTGTGTGTGTGTGTGTGTGTGTGTGTGTGTGTGTGTGTGTGTTTGAGAGTCACGTTGATACATCCTGAATAATTCTTCCCTCCATCTGTAACTCAAGATATTGAAGAGATAACAAACAGAAACACCCTGGTAGCTGCCAGTCTATTCTCCTGAGCATCACACTCAGAACTGAAGGATATTTTTGTCTCTTTGAAAATCTCAAAGCATGGAGGACTTGTTCCTCATCAGGCTCTGGCTGAGGTTTCAGAACCAAGGACAGCAGCAGAGGTACTCAGTCCTGCTGGTGTCGGTTCAGCACCTCTGACAGTGAAAAAGGACAAGCACAGACACCTGTGGCTGCTGGGGGACACAGCTGGATCTGCTCTGCATCATTGTTACCCAAAGGAGAACTGTTCTCATGTAGACCAAAACCCCTAAAGCTCTGCATTGTGTGACTTCCTTTATGCCTTTCAGCATTGCTTAAGTTCTAAAATTCTAGTGTTACACAGTTCCTCGTACTTATCTCTAACTACTGGTACAGTATGACCTCGAGTCATACCTTTAAGACTCCAATTACTGCCATGTCCAAAGGTCAGTGTCCACTTAAAATACAGCTACTGGTCTACAAATCACTCACAAGGCTAGGACCATATTATATTTCAGATGCGTTTTGTCAGTATGAACCCTATATATATAGAAGTTGTAGGCCCGCTGAGTTGAGCCAGCTGCCTCTTCCAACGCAGGGTCAACATAAAACAGAGAAGATACATTTACTTGGAACAACCTCTCCAACAACCTCTCCGATGATCTTAAGCACTGTTCAAGAAAAAAACAGCTTACCAGCTCAGACCACATTCAGTGCTATAGTGAGTATTTACAGTGGCAGGACAGTGTGGGATTGTCTCATTGATTTGTTTTTAATAATGCACAACAATGGAGCTCTATGGAGAAAGAAAGTGTAATTAATAAGTAGTAGTAACACACAGTAGAAGTGGAAGAAGTCTTATCAGCAAAATCTACTTAAAGTATCGAAAGTAAAAATACTCACTATGCAGAAAAAAATTCTTTTTTATTTCTGGATTAATATTACTGCTGCATTGATGTGTATCTTGCTTAAGGTTGAGCTTGTTTTAACTACTTTATATAATGTTGGTTAGTTTAATCTACAGCAATGAAGAATCAATATTCTATAATATAATCATATGTTTGTGGTATTCCAATATTTAAATAGTTAATTTAATTCAAGACATAGGGGAATTATCTCAACACATAAAGAAACACTTATTCCTTCAGTTTATTGGGATAATTTAAAATCAACAAATATGGAGATACATGGTTTTCCCTGGACAGTAAGGGAAGGAAAAATTGAAATGAAAATACTCCAGTAAAGTAAAATTACCTCAGACTTGTAATACAATAAATATATTTCCACCACTGATGATAAATGCGTCCATTTTAGTGTTCCACCTCCAGGGTCCGCCCACACTAAACATAAGAGTGTACCACTGCAGCTGTCTTTTGCAAAGTCAAATGATAATAAAGGAATATTTTATATAATTAGGAATATTATTAATTAATTGGTGAGACTGTTCGAAAATGTGTAATAGCCCGCAGGTACACAAAGTGACATTTACATTTAATAAGATCTTTGTCTTCTTCTTTTTAAATTAAGACATACATTATACAGTAGGCCGTTGTAGGTTCCAGATGTGCTCGGCCTGGCAGATCCGCTCAGGTGTCCTTTGTTTACAGATGGCGTAATGCATTAAAACATTATGATCGGCTGTATGGATGATGTTTACATACCAAGACATCCTGCCCGATCAGTACTGGGCATGTGCAGCTCTTAACAGAGATGAGAAGGAAATGAGATAGCTCACTCGCTAGCTACGTCCATCATCAGCTCCAGAAAAAAACAATGAGTTACGACACATTATTTTATTTTCTTATGTAAAAATGTCTTTGTACTAGCTAAGGTAACTTAAAACACTGGCGTCACTTTTGCCAACATTACACTGTTACATGACATATAGTGTGTGGTCCATGTACGTCTCACATGCTTATAGATGTGATGTACATATATGTCACAATACTTCTTCATATCACATACCTCATCAGACTGCATCCAGAAGACAATCTTAATCAATAACCTTCTGAATTAAACACAAAGTTATTATGATGGAAGTAGGTAATGAGTAAGCCATCGTTCTTTCTTCAGTCTCTGTTGCACATGTACAGTGCTGATCGGGCAGGATGTACGGATCAGGCAGTGCAGCCAATCATAATGTGTTAATGTGTTTCATCATGTGTAAACTCAAG